CCCCCACTGCCCCCATCAAACATGCATACATACTCGTTGGGCTAAGCTGAATTTAGTTTAAGTGCTAGGAAAAGGCTTCGGAGCCACTGTAAAGCATTCCAGGTGTTAGTGGTTTTTTGACGAACAGAGTCACACAAATGTCCCTCATTTTTGCAGTGTGAGATACCTGGTCTCACACATCGTCACACAGCTAGAAGAAAAAAGGAGTAGAAAGTGTTGCCTCCAGAAAATAATGAGGCCAAAGTTTTCTTCTCTAGTTTAGAATGCTTTTTGCATTTTTCAGGGTAAAATACTGAAACCTCCAAATATACTGGGTCATAAATACATGGGGGTTGGGTGTTACCAGAGGATAAAAAAGCACCAGAAGAGAACAGCTGAGAGAATAGAAACTTCTAAGTCTACACCACCTTCTCGAAGGCAGGGCTCTGATTCTACACAGTCATCTCTGGTTTTGGAAACTAGAAGAATCACCAGAAGGCCATCTGAACACTTCATTAGCTAGACAGTTATCTGCTGGCGGTGCAGTGGTAAGGAATCTGCCTGCCAATGTAGGGGATGCAGGAGGCGAGGTTCAATCCCTAGGCTGGGAAGATCCCCACTTAGAATAAGGAATGACAACCCACTCTGGTATTCGTGCCCGGGAAATTCTACGGACAGAGAAGCCTGGTGGGCTATACAGTCCATGGCAGTCGCAAAGAGCTGGACACGACTGAGTGACAGAGAACGCGCAGCACACATCTGTTTAGTAGCACCCAAGTCCCTACTTCTGATTCTTTGCTCCCACAATGACTCTGGGCTGCAAGAGAAGCTCCTCAGACAAACCACCTACCAGAAAGGAGATGCAAAAATCTGTTCCCTGGTTGTCTTAGTCCTGGAATATCTCACAAAATAAATGCATCGGTTGGCATCAGGTCCCGAGAGTCAGATTGAGGGTTCTGGTACTTCCCAAAGTTAAGAAGTAACTGTCGTTACTAAGATAATGAATTCCAGGGGTGGAGGCTCAGCCCCAGTGATAATGCATGAATCAGCTGCTGCCTTGGCCATGCCCCCAGGAACAGACAACACCTGTTTCCTGGAACCCCAATCTCTGAGATTCAGTGTCAGGTGAACCCTGGACCTGCGCAATCCATCACTGGCTAGCTAATGGGAGTCATCATGCTTTTTGGGGGTAAAAGTACAGAGATTTTGGAAGCTTTTTTTTTTTTTTTTTTTTTACTATGTAATGACTGTAAGATTTGCCTGAATCTCAGTTTCCCTGTTAAAAAACAGGAATAACAATCTACTGTACTAAGCTTAAATGAAATGGCATATTTTACTATATAGTACAGAATCTGGAGCATAGTAAGTATTCAAAAAAGCATTCATTCTCTCACATTCCCTCCTGTCTCCATAGGGGGAGACAAGTTCTCTAATTCTTGTTCATACAGAACCACTTGCTATACAAAATGTTCATTTATTTGAGATGAATTTCGAATAGGGCTGCAGCAAAAGAGAAGATCAAACATACCTCTGTCTATGGCGACTCGAGTCAAGACTCTCCAGCTCAACAGCTCTGGGCAGAGCTTGAGGAATAAGTGACCTTGAATCTGACTTACTTCACTAAGAGCTGAAATTTAAAACCATTCTTTGTGGGGCCTTCATGATGGTTTTGCTTAAATAGCACATGATGGCAATGTCCTCCCTCAGCGGCCCTTGGTAAGCCAATCAGTTTCAGTCTCATCTACTTCAATAAGAAAGAAGAAAAAAAAAAAGCACTCCAAGTTGGAGAAGAATCAAGTGTGTTTTCTTTCCTAGAAACAGCTGTAAAGTCGACCCAAATAGAAAAATCTAGAAATAAATGCGAAGCAGATGGGAACATTCTAAAAATTCCACTTGTCCTTTCCCTGATGAGGTGCTGTTAGTGCAAAGGCGGTCTCAGGCACATGAATTCTTAATCACCAAAGGTCACCCAAAGCATGTAAATCTACAAGGCCCATCTCTCTGTGTGGTATTCATTACCTAGCTATCCATTACTTTCAGCGCGCGTGTGTAAGTCGCTCAGTCCCATCTGACTCTTTGCAATCCCACGGACTGTAGCCCACCAGGCTCCTCTGTCCGTGGAATTCTCCAGACAAGAATACTGGAGTGGGTAGCCATTTCCTTCTCCAGGGAATCTTCCCAACTCAGGGACTGAACCCAGGTCGCCTGCTTTGCAGGCAGATTCTTTATCGTCTGAGCCACCAAGCAAGGCCCACTTTTGTGGCTCTATGCAAAGTGTAGTTTTAAAGAAAAAATGCAAAGTGTAGTTTTAAAGAAAAATAAAAGCATGTGATGACCCATAAAATGAACATGTTGAGAATGGCACTGCCTGGATATTTTCCATGGGAGACCAGTGTCCTAGCTGGCTTGTACACTTCAATTGGCAGCAGACCTTGGGCAGCACAACAGATTGCACCATGGGTTGAAATGATATGTCACATCAAACTAAATAGGAGCATTCATGAGACCAACAGTGGTACCAGCAGGTGAAGTCTGTTTCCCTTTCATCACTTTATCCTCATCACTCCTGTACAAGCATATTGATCTGTTTCGGGGAATGAGGTATTTGGCGTAATCATTATGTCTACATTATTGAGGCTTAACCTTGAAGCGCTGAATCTTTTCACTGGAGGCATTTGTGATGAGCTTCCTTAAATGCATCTTGGGTTTCCCGGCTTTGTGAATTTGATGTGCTGATAAAGGCCCTCTAATCTCCTCTGAATGACTAAGTTATTCATGAGCAAATAGCGATAGAATTTTAGAGTAGGGAAAAAACTCAGAAATGATTTCATTTCCCAAGCCCATCCCCATATTTTATACTTGAACTTCACAAATGCTGAGTGACTTGCTAATTAACAGTCATGAAGATATTATGGGACCTCACCCTATAATCTGGGTCTCCTAATTCCAAATTTCAGGGTTTTTTCTTGTACACAGTAAATCCCAATTATACTAGATCTTTGCTATGTGCCTCTTCCCTTGCCTGTCACATTCTACCCTTAGATTCACACATGCCTTACTCTCTCATCTCCTGCAGGGTTTGTTCGCAATTGTCACCTTTTCAGTAAGGTCCTCCTTGATGGCTCTGTTTAAATTTGCAATCCTCTCTCTGTTCTCTGGCATTATTTTCACTTTCCCCAGATTTGTTTTTTGTCTACAGCATTTGTCACATTCTAAATTTCTATATATGCAATCTACCTTTTTTTGCTTTATTTCCTTTAGCCACTAGAATGACAATTTCGTGAAGAAAAGGTTTTTGTGGGTTTTATTTTTAACTCTATTCTAGTGCTAGGACAGTGCCTGGCCAATAGGAGGTGCTGACTAAATAATTATTAAGTAAATCACTAATCTAAATGATTAAAATGTCACAGAAATTTGGTATGAATAAGTCTGGTGTTATAATGTTTGTAATATAGGACTTCCTGAATTATTATCTCTCGTTGGTGAAGAAAGTTAAGAAATTATTTGTTCAAAAACCCAAATTATTTGTTAAGCAAAGTCCTCCAGTTAAAGAAAAGTAAAGCTGAATTTTAGGTGGCTGATCTTTAGCATAAAATTTGCTTTCAGACAATAGAATAAAACATATGCTGCATTTACTAATATATTTTTACCAAGCTACTGAAAGCAATGATGCCTGTGCCATCAACAAAAATAAAATGATGACCTACTTAGGAAAATCCTCTGCAAGTGTACCCAGTAGGTACACAATGTTTTGGTCTGTCTGCCCCCAAAACGGTCTTTCTTGTTTGTAGGGAGTTCATGTGGCCACTTTAAAGTTAGTTGATAGGAAATCAACAACAGTGTTTGTCAAATAACTATTTGTAAAAACCCTACGGGTTGCTAGGTAGTTTAAAGAGCGATCTTCAATAAGGGACATAAAAGAGCTTTACGGCAGTGAGAGTCAAAGGAGGACGAGTCTTTGAAAAATCTGTTTGAAAATAATGAAAAATATAATAAATGTTAAGCTGTTCTTTGTGGCTTCATTGTAGGGGATGATTACAAGGAACTCAGCTCAATAGCAATAAGGAAATTAGTAAATTGTTGACTGGAAAATGGTGCTTCAACTAAAATGGTAACTATAAAGAACAACTTAGAAAATAATAGTAAATTCTTTACATATTTGAAACCACACGTGGTGACTGCAGCCATGTAAAAACATGCATGTGGACAAACTTGAAGGTGACATGATGAGTAAGAAGCAAAATGATTTCTTTTCCCCATTTTTCCAGATTTGATACTCTCTATTATGCTTTTTATATAATATAGGTTATATTATATATAGAATAGATTATAATATATATACAGTATTTGATATGCTATATTATAACTAATAGAATAATAATAATAGAAACATATTGATTATGGAGCATAAATGATAGCAGTTCCTAAGGTAACTAAGGAAAAATTGGTTCATATAGAAGGAAGTTACTGACATTTTTGGGCTGACAGTTGAAAGGGATTTTCCAAACTGTTTCCTCAGAATTTTCCATACTGTACTAACCACACACAAAAGAGACATGAGACAAATGAACTTATCTACAAAGCAGAAGGCTCAAATGCATAGAGAACAGACTGGGGGTTGCCCAGAGGGAGGAGGTTGGGAAAGGGATGGATTCGGAGCTTGGGGTTAGTAGATGCAAACTACTATATAGAGAATGGATAAACAACAAGGTCCTACTGAATAGCACAGGGAACTATATTCAATATCCTATGATAAGCCAGAATGGAAAAGAAGGTGAAAAGGAATATGTATATATAATTGAATCACTTGGCTGTACAGCAGAAATTAATACAACATGGTAAATCAGCTATACTTCAATTTTAAAAAAGGGATGTGACTTTAAATAAAATTTTTACCCTTACTGGAGATTCATGATATGATATTAATTAAAGGCTCTGAAAATCTCTGTTGTAAAACAAATGATTCAGCTTCACGTTATCGTCCCCCTCAATCATCTGACCAAATGCCATTTCCTTCCTAGTCTACCTGTGACTACCCCAAGAAAGACCACTGTTTTGGAGAACACAACTGGGGAAGAGTACAGTAAGCACAGAACGGCCTTGGTGTTTCTCCAGTGAAGCTTCAACTATAAGAAAACACAGAAGAAATCAAGGGGGAAGAAAAAAGAAAAGAGAACAAGTTGAGTGGTAGTTGGGTCTAGGTTACTTTATCCTTGCAGGGGGGTTTCTGAGAAAGATTAGTCTTAAATTTAATTGTTGGAGTTGGGAGGCAAAGAGGAAACTTCCCTCTGAAAAAAGGAGGAGCCAAATAAAAACCTATCCATAGAGACCTTGTATAGCAGGGCTGAGTCAGTTCCAGGGACAGGTGATCATGCCACACTGTTGGGAGATGAGCCACTGGGAAGTCAAAGACTTACATATTATAAAACAGAGTTAGGAGCTACAAGGAAGGTTCTGGAACCCATGTACTCCAACATACTCTGTATGCACAACAATGACAGCATTATTCATTTTCCCTGGGATTGCTCTTAATAGGTTGTAAGCTCCTTCCTTCCTCTCTCCTTCCCTTATCTCCCACCTACCCCGCCCCGCCCCATAAGCTTCTAGATCACATCAATCATTATGGTCACCTTTGTACCCATAGTGGCTGGGACTCAGACGGTGTTGAATAAATATAAATGAAATTAACAACAGAAAGAGTTAATGAGTGTTCTTGTGCTCTATAAAATACTGGACCAGATAAACACATTTTTCCAATTGTAGCTCTTTAATAGTCCTTAATAAATATTCCGTATTTCTATTAGATTGGAAAGTACTAGAATAATAGTTCTTAGTTAAAGTGTTAGCCACTCAGACTCTTTTTCCACCCTATGGCTGTAGCCTGCCAGGCCTCTCTATCCATGGAATTCTCCCGGCAAGAATTCTGGAGTGAGTTGCCATTTCCTTCTCCGGGGTATCTTCCCGACCCAGGGAACGAACCCAGGTCTTCTAAATTGCAGGCAGATTCTTTACCATCTGAGCCACCAGGGAAGCCTCAATAGTGCTTAGCCCTTTCCTAATTTCTGTTCTGCTGATTATGTTAAAATTCACACTTATTTTTATAATAAATGACATTGTGAAACATTCAGACATTTCAGATTAAGCTAACTCATCTACCAATAATGATGCTGGAAATCATGCAGGTGGTTTGACACAGAAGATCACTGTCTTTGAGGTCTTTCTAGTTAAGGAAATATGGATTACTGACATTTTTAATGGCTGCAAGAGGATTCCATAAAATAGTTGCCATAAGCTACTGAATTTTTCCCTGCTGATAAGACACTTAGGGTGTTAACATGACTTGCTATTAAAAGAAATGCAGTGATGAACATCTTGTATTCTAGATCAGATATTGAGAAACAAAATTGTTTTATCATAAATTTAAAAACTGAAACACTGCTGAATTGCCATCCCCCAAAATGGCTCATTAAATTACACTGCTGCCAGCAATGGAAAACTCATGCATTTTCTATACTTATACCAAAATATTTTTATCAAATTAAATGTTTTTATAATAATCTGAGTGAAATATGCTATCTTATTTTGAACTTCTCAGATAACTGCTGAAGTTTAGCAAGTTTTTATATAGAATTTGTCACTATATTATTTTCAGTTAACATATTTTTGATCATGTTAAAAATACAAAAACCATGTCATCACTATAAGTTATCTAGCTTTACTGCCTTATTGTAAGCAAGACTGAACCTTTAAACTATTCACAAAAATACAGTTATCTATTCATGTGATCCTGAAAGATCTCCAGCATGGGTTTTACAATCTTCCTCACTGGAAGGTTAAATACCTTACAGAAAAGTTGGTCACCTTTCTGGACAAACAGTTCTAACTCCAAGAAAACATCACTCCTTCCACTTTCTAAGTGAACCTCCACTCACCTGTGTTACTGTACTGTGGACAGAGATGATGTGTCTACTTCTGTAGCCTTTATGCCTAGCACAGGACTTGCTACATTGAGAACAGATAGACAACAATTTTAACAGATTTAGCCACTCCAGCACAGAAAAAGCTTTCAAATGCTAGAAACCACCTTCTTTCTCTCACTGCTTTTCTCCACCTAAACTCTAATTCTACTGTTGTTGGGAAAAAAAAAAAAAGGCTATAGTCCTGTGCTGTTAAGTAGCAAAATCATAATCACAAGTCAAGAGATTATTAGGATCAAAGTGTAAAAAGTTATCAATTGAATTATCTGAACATAGTGGCACATAAAAATCTCTTTATATGCAAAACTGAATAATGTAGACAGTTCTTGGGTGTAAGAGATTAAATGGACACCTACAGGTATTAAGATATTTTAAATACACATACACAACATCCTGAATAGTCATCAGATGGTATAATGCTGGGTATTTTTTAAACTAATAATTTTTTGGAACAGGGATTATTAAGGTAAGAAAATTGTTACAAAAGGAGAAACAGTTCTTGATTTTTTCAAACTACAATTTATTTGTCCCGAACAATTCTGTAATTTTAAATAATGAGTTTGCTTTTATTTTTAAAAAGATCATTATTAAGAAGAATGCAAATTCCCATTCCCAGTGTATAGACTTTCAAATACTTTGCTTCCTGTTTATGTTCTGTCAAAGTAATTTTTAAATTGCTAAGCATGAAAATAATTTTCAATATACTTTACTCATTATTTATGGATTTGGTGAAAATAAATGAGATCATTTCAGATTCAGGAAAATTTGAGTACTTGAGGTATTTTAAAAGAAATACAGTTTACTTTTGGGGGGCTTTCCTGGTGACTTAGCGGTAAAGAATCTGCCTGCCAATGCAGGAGCCTCAGGTTTGATCCCTGGTTGGGGAAGATCTCCTGGAGAAGGAAATGGCAACTCATTCCAGTATTATTCTTGCCTGGAGAATCCCATGGACAGAGGAGGCTGGCGGGCTACAGTCCATGGGGTTGCAAAGAGTCAGACACAACTTAAGCAACTAAACAACAAAACAACAACATAGTGTACTTTAGCGGCTTGAATAATATAACTTGAAAGCCTTCTAGCTTCTAAACTTCTAAACAACCTCCCTGAACTTCATAATCAAGTGTGAAAAAGCTCATTGTGAGAATCTGGAGGTTCCATTCAGACCTGGGCTCTGACCCTAAATACCCATGCAACAAAGGGCAGTGCTTGCAATTATTTTTCTGAACTTTGGCATTTTATTGAACAAAACAAGGGATTTATCTAGACTGAGGGAAATTCCATTTCCTTGATTTGCTTTCCAACAGTTGAAAACAGTCAAGAGATTTCACACACAGACAAGTATTTCATGTATTTTCTGAAATCTTGGGTGAACCAACAGTGTGAGTCCATCAATCCTTCACTTTAACCACCAGCTGGAGCCAAGGCACCGCTGTCCACTCTGGGGCACAGACATCCTTACTGAATGATAACTCTGCCTTTGCATCCACTTGAAGAAATGTACGTTATTTTTATTATTCATGCGCTAAGTCGTTTCAGTCCTATCTGACTCTCTATGACCCCATGGACTGTAGCCAGTCAGGCTCCTCTGTCCATGGGATTCTCCAGGCAAGAATACTGCAGTGGGTTGCCATTTCCTCCTCCAGGAGGTATTCACAGGGATCTGTAAAAAATCTGGACAGTCTTAATTAGCTCTTTTTTTTTAAAAAATTAAACTGTGACTTGTAATTGTTTCTTTTTATTTTATTTTATTTTTAGCAGTTTTATTTATTTATTTATTTTTTCCATTTATTTTTATTAGTTGGAGGCTAATTACTTTACATCATTACAGTGGTTTTTGTCATACATTGAAATGAATTAGCCATGGATTTACATGTATTCCCCATCCCGGTCCCCCCTCCCACCTCCCTCTCCACCCGATCCCTCTGGGTCTTCCCAGTGCACCAGGCCTGAGCACTTGTCTCATGCACCCAACCTGGGCTGGTGATCTGTTTCACCCTAGATAATATACATGTTTCAATGCTGTTCTCTTGAAACATCCCACCCTCGCCTTCTCCCAGAGTCCACAAGTCTGTTCTATACATCTGAGTCTCTTTTTCTGTTTTGCATATAGGGTTATCGTTACCATCTTTCTAAATTCCATATATATGTGTTAGTATACTGTAATGGTCTTTATCTTTCTGGCTTACTTCACTCTGTATAATGGGCTCCAGTTTCATCCATCTCATTAGAACTGATTGAAATGAATTCTTTTTAATGGCTGAGTAATATTCCATGGTGTATATGTACCAAAGCTCCCAACAGTGGCTTGAAGAAGCATTAGAAGCATAAGTCTGATCAGATAGAAACAGACTTAATATATTTGAGATGAAATTCACAAGAAGGAACAGTACGTGTCTCTAGTAACTCTAGAGTCCATTTTTTTTAAGAGTCTATTAACTCTATCTCAAGGCATTTTTGGCATCATCATAGAAATATGTACGTGAGTAACATAAACCTATTATTTTTTTTTAGTAACTAACTATAGGGTCATTTAATATTTTCTCTCCTCAGATTTTGAAGTATGTTGACTCTTAGAAACCAGTTTTTAACTCCAACTTCCATTTACAGTATTTCCTGTTGTTGTTCAGTCACTAAGTTCTATCTGACTCTTTGTGTCCCCGCGGACTGCAGCATGCCAGGCTTCCCTGTCTTTCACCATCTCCCAGAGTTTGCTCAGACTCATGTTCATTGACAGTATTTCTACACCATTATTTCCTATTTATCTCCATATTATACCTGCCTCACTCGCTTTGAGTGTACTGAAATATCCCATATAACCGTCAACATTGTACCTATAGTTTTCAAAATGTAATTGGAACAAGACTGTTTCTGTTCTCTGTACAAGTTTCCACTTGGCTGTCTTACTCTATCAGGTGAGATTTTCTTTCTTTACAACTACAGAGAAAAGAATATCTACTAAATTACAGGTTATAAAGGTATCTGAGTCCATGTTCAAGATACTGAAATGCAGTTAGTGAAAGAATGTAAGTCAGGTGGTTTGTCCTAAGGGTGTTTCATATTTTATGCCATTGATGGAAAAAATGAATTAAATTTCCAGGGATGGAAAGACACAAAAACTGACCATTTGCTCCACAGAAAACACTATTTTAGATGAGGGGAGATAATAAATTCACTAGGCTCTGGGTCATAGGACTCTTCCTGAAATCAGTCAGTTGAGCTGAGAACAATAGGAAATTGCCACTTACATGCCCTTTAAAAAGCTTCTGTGCTGCCTCAAAGCCACCTACTCACTTGACACTGTACCAGTTGCTAATGGTTTCAGGCTAAGGGTTTTATCTTCATCACCAAGAGATCACCTCTTTCCAAATCAATCACATCCCACTGGCTAATTTGATTCTAAAATACAGGTCTCAGTTCCGTTGTGAAAATCCTTAAGCACACTGTCCATCCAATTTCAGTGACAACGGATTCAGCATTCACAGTTCACATCCATCTCTGGGACAGACGTTGCGGGGAAAACCCAAAGGTATTACTCACACATCCTTTGGGAAAGATTAGGGTTTAGTCATTTGTTTTTCAGTTATGGAAAAACAGGCCACAGACCTTTAAAGCTAGTGGTTCTCTATGACAGTTTTGAAAGATTTTTCTTAAGCCGATTAGATAGGATTGTACAAACCCAGTCCCGAGCATGGCGGAGCGCTAGAAAGAGCACAG